TTCTTCAACATGATCAAGGAAAATTGTATCATGTTGCCTTAATTTACTTATTTTTTTCTAAGTAGGTGAAACAGTTTCTTTAACATGTTTATTAATCATTTGATTTTTCTTTTGTAAATTTCCTGCTTTTCTGTTGTTAGTTTCTTTTCACGTATTGCTTTTTTGTTTGTTTGTTTTGTTTTGTTTTGCGGTACGCTGGCCTCTTACTCTTGTGGCATCTCCCGTTGTGGAGCACAGGCTCCAGCCACTCCGCAGCATGTGGGATCTTCCCGGACCGGGGCACGAACCCGTGTCCCCTGCATCAGCAGGCGGACTCTCAACCACTGCGCCACCAGGGAAACCCTGACGTATTGCTTTCTTATTAATTTGTAGTAGCTTAATGTACAAAGGACAGTGAGCCTTTGTTACCTATATTGTAAATACTCTCAGATCTGTTATTCATCTTTTAATTTTGATACTACAATTTAAATTTTTCTTTATTAAGTTTCTGCTTTGCTTATGATACTTTAAAATAAACCTTCTTTATTTCCAGATTTTATAAACACTTGTATATACTGGTGGGATTTCATTCTTCCTCCCTCCTACCCCTCCACCCCCTACACTGATCTTTGTGCATACATGTGCATACATTGAAAACCCCACCAGGTGATGTTATAATTTTTGCATTAAAAAATCATAGATATCTTAAAGGAATTCAGAGGGGAAACATAGTGTTTTATATTTACCCAACTATTTATCATTCTTCTCTCATTTTTGATGTTTCAGGTTTCCTTCCAGTATTATTGCCCATCAGCCTGAAGAACTTCCTTTAAAATGTCTTCTAAAAAGCCTGTTGGCAATGGATTCTTTTAATATTCCTTCACTTGAAAATTCATTTATTTTATCTTCATTCCTAAAGGATGTTTTTCCTGGATATAGAATTTTGAAAGGTTTTTTTGTTTATTTGTTTTGTTCCAATATCTTTTTCTTTTCCATCTGGACCTCCTATTACATGTATGTTAGTTCCACAGGTCCCTGAGGCTCTGGGCATTTTATTTCAATCTTTTCCCCTTGTTTTTTTAAAATTAGATAATTTCTTTTGATCTAACTTGAGATTCACTGACCTTGTCCCCCTCTATCATCTCCATTCTGCAATTCAGCATTTCAGCCCAGGAAGTTTTTTGTTTCAGTTACTGTGTTTTTCAGTTCTGAAATTTCCATTTGGTTCTCTTTTCATAGTTTCTATTTCTCTACTGAGAATTCCTATCTTTTGATTCATTTCAGTGTGTTTATTTTACGTCATTGCTGTTAACTTATACCAGCATAGTTATTTGCTTTAAGTCTTTGTCTGATAGTACCAGCATCTGGGTCATCTCAGCATTGGCATCTGTTGATTGTCTTTTCTCTTGAGAGTTGGTTACATTTTCCTGGACTTTGTATGTTGAGTAATATTGGATTGTATCCTGGATATTTTGGACTCTTAGTTGGGTTATAATCATCTGGACAGTGTTGATGTTTGTTGTTAACAGGCAGTCCATCCAAAGTCAAAATATAAGTTCTGACAGCAGTGTCTTGGCAGACAATGGTTCAAATCTCCTTTCCATTCTCTAAGAGTTTGCTATACTGTTTTGGGTCTCTCCTGCACATACACAGTTTAGGGATTGGTCTGAGACTTATACAGGTTTTTCAGTTTGACAGAATTATATAGTATTTTGATTCTCTCGGTATCTCAAGTATAACGAACCTCAAGGTTAAATATTGAATTGGGAGAGGAGTTGAGGAAGATGGCAGAAGAGTAAGACGCGGAGATCACGTTCCTCCCCACAGATACATCAGAAATACATGTACACGAGGAACTGCTCCTATTGAACACCCACAACGCTGGCAGAAGACCTCAGACCTCCCAAAAGGCAAGAAACCCCCCACGTACCTGGGTAGGGCAAAAGAAAAAAGAAAAAACAGAGACAAAGAATAGGGACGGGACCGGCACCAGTGGGAGGGAGCTGTGAAGGAGGAAAGGTTTCCACATACTAGAAGCCCCTTCACTGTCG